CTGAGGTATGGATTGCTGCAGAACTGAAGAACTCATTCTTGAAAGCATTAAAATATGGTTTAATTTTTACAATATTATGCTTCACATAACCTACTCGAGGGCCAAGTTTGCAAGAGGCTTTGAAGAATGAATATAAGTTTACCTCATATTTGAAGGAAAGTGGAAAATTCTACATTAAAGGCAAGAAAAAATTATACACAGCAAAAGTCTGAAGATGGGTAGTAGCCTGATGTGCTACAGAAACTTGTAGAAATTTTTTTCTGAAACATGACAGGAGAAGCCAGGAGCACCCAGAACCACAGGGCAGTATGCCCATATGCCTTCAGCAGAGGCTCACACCACGTGGTAGTGCATCCCTGACACTCCCACCTGGTTAACTTGGGAAGGAAAGGGTAGAGTCTGGGGGCAGGGAGTACAAGATTTCTTCAAATTCATCTTTTATTTCAAACATCAGTGTGAATTTAACATACCATTTCACGGTTCTGCAAGCACGTGCCCCTTTCAAGAGCTGCTGAGGTGAAATGCGCCCTCAATCCCAAGCCTTCCAGGAATTCACCTCCTGAACAATGAAGCATCTCTTCATGTAACTGTTGCAGCTCAGTGCGGAATGATGAGGCTGAGGGGTACTGACTTTTCAAGAACTCAGCACAGGCCGCCCAGAAAGAGCAAGCCATCTCATCAGCCCGAAGACTGCATTTCTTTTCCATAAAGATCAATATTTGGGGACCAGAGAGATGGCTCAGTGGTTAAGAGCATGTACTGCTCTTGCAGAGGACCCAGGCTCAGTTCCCAGCACACGTCTGATAATTTATTACAGTCTATAACTCCAGCTTCAGGGATCTGACGCCCTCTTCTGGCCTTCACAGGCACCTGCACTCATCCACACATACCCACACACGACACATAACTAAAAATAAAATATTTTATTTAAAAAAGAAGGTATTTGTCTAGATCCTAGGAGCCCCCATCTCCTGGTGTCTAGCTCCCCAGTGCAGACACTTTCAATTCTCTTTCTCAGAAAGTCATCTGACCAAGTCTATAGCTAATTAGGGTCCTGTCTGTGTCTCATTCACTTGTTTATTCAATACCTTTACAGAACAAGTCTCAATGCATACTAATGCCAGGTATTGTTGGGATTGATCTGGGTTCATCCAGGGCCACCAGCTCTCCTCGGCCTCACTCTCTCCTGGGTGACTCTAGCCTGTAGTTTCAACACTGATCATGCTAATGATTCCCACATGTGTGTCTTTAGTCCCGGCTGTCCTTTCAGGTTCTGAGCAGTACGACCGATGAGCACAGCTGCCGGATCACCACCCACCGTGCCTCTGAATCTGGAGACATGGGTCTCTCCTTCCTCCTCCAGACCTGTCCCTCCCCTGCTGCATACAGCCAAGGTCATCTTACTCCAACTACAGCTGGACATCATGAGAACTTCAAGCCTTGCTATAGTCTCCAAGCGCCCAAGATCAAATCAGTGCAAAGTCGTAAGTAACCTGGTCACCTCAGCTGTGGAGTTTCCAGACTATCACATGCACAATCACAACCGTAATGAGGCAAAACAGCAATTAACACTGTATAACTCGTCTGCAAAGCGTGTCTGCATGCATTTTATTAGGCCTCCAAACAACCGCTTATAGCAGAGGAAGCCTGTCAAATTTCCCAGAGCTCAGAAGCAATGTCGTACTCATCCTGAACACCTTAAACCTGGACTGAAAGTCTTTCCCTCACACCACAGGGCCTCTGCTGAGATGCCCATGCGATGCCAGTCTAACTCCATGCACACTCACACCACACTAGGAACTTCCAGGTAGGTATGGAGAACTAAGTACTGCCATTTGGACTGAGCCAAGACTTAGTCCAACACTTTCTATCATGTTAGAACAAACTCCATGGTAATGGAGTCAGGATGTCAGAGAAAAGGTGTCTTTTGAAATTTAATTATGTAAGAGTCTCAATTGTAAAAAAAAAATCAACTTTGGTTACATTGTCAAGGAATCACTTTTATTACACACTTACACACATATACACACATGCATACACACACGACATTCCCAAAACATCTAAGATGGACTAGTACCTTCCATTTTAGAATGGGTATCTGTATTTTAGAGTACATATACCAGCCACAGTGAAACCACTGAGAACTGGGACACGGGTCAGGTTTACTTCTTAAGTCCTAAGAGCTATGGGTAACGTGGGAGAGAGACACAAAGCCTCTGTTACAGATGGGAACAGTTTCAAGGCTGCCATCTGAACCCAACAAGGGAGGTGCCATAGCTAATTTTGTGTCACCCTGTCTATGCTATGGTGATCACTTGTTTGGTAAAATACTATGCTAACCTAAATATCGCTAAAAGGGTAATTTAAAGGTATGATTGACACCCACAATCAGCTGACGTTCCATAAAGTAGGTCAGTTCCACAATGCAGTGGGCCTCAACCTATCAGCTGAAGGACTGATGGCAATGTGCTGTATCCAGACTCCAGGACCTAGGAGGGGCTGGGAGAGGCCAGAGGGATTTGGTGCTTGCTTCTGCCTGGCTAACAGATTCTCCACCATGTGCTGAGAAGGTCTCCATATAGACCAAGGGAAGTCACAGCTAGAGTTAGTGGACTTACTTTTGACAAATTATTGGAGTATCTATCTTTATGACAAGCTTGATGAATGCCTGTAAATCATCAGCTAATTAACACTGAAAATCAATACTCACTGCTTAAAAAATTTTAAAAGAGTTGTTTTACCCAATATAATAGCTCCTAGCAATGCATGGCTATAAAATTAATTCAAATAAAAATCTTCAATTCCCCAGTCATCACTAGTGACTACCCTACTGGATAGTGCATATCTAGAAGATTTCTGTAGTGACGAAAAGTTCCATCTGGTATAGCTGCTATGGAGCATGATACAGCATGTAAAATGGCAAATGATGGGGGCTGGAGACAAGGCTCAGTGGGCAAGGGCATGCTCTTAGAGATGACTGGAGTTTGGTTCCCAGGACCCGCACCTGAAACTACAGCTCCAGATGAGCAGTGTGCTCTTCTGGCTTCCACAGGTACCCACACTCATGTACACACCCACACACAGACACATATCCATACACACAGTTTTTAAATTTAAAAGTACCAAATGATGGAAAGCATTTGAGGCCTATAATACACTCCAAATACTCCTTAGGTCAGAACTATTGTTCACTCTAACCCTCCTCGTAATTCATGGCCCCTGGTGGGGGCCTTGGCACACACCAGAAGTCTGCAAACAGAACTATGAACTATGTATGTCAGGACTGGCACAAAAAACTGCTGTTCTGGGTTGCACGGTTTACATGAGTCTTTACGGTGAATATTTTATCACGTACACAAAATCCTTCCCATTTTTGTCACCTCAACTGATGCAGCTTTCTGAAAAGACAGTCTCAAAATAACACGCTCCTGTGCTCACATGTGAAGCCTGCCTGTAGGGATGCGTTAACACTTAGCTTCCAGAACAGGGTGCTTTGCTAGGCAATTACTGCGTGTGCATGAGCAGTGGTGGCAGTGGTGGCGGTAGTGGTGATGATGATGGTGGTGGTGGTGGTGGTGGTGCTGGTGCTGGTGCTGGTGCTGGTGCTGGTGTTTTCTCTGGTGACCCAGCTTACAGGAATGACTCTTGGGCAAGCAGCCTGAAGACCCAGAGCTTTGGACCCAGCTCTGCATCTTGCTACTTACTTTACTTGTCAAAGCGTCATCTACAACACGGGACTATAATACTCATTTAGCCATCAGGTAAGAATCTTCTAACTGCCCTCTACAATGGATGGGACTAGGTTCTGGGGAAACAGAAAAATGGCATTACCCTGCCATCCTGAATGCCTTATCATCTGAGAAGCCCCAAAGAGTTAACTTTTTCATTTTTCTTGAACTGCCTAACTCAATTTGAGATGCCTCCTGCTAGTCCTGAGCTTTGGTGGGCTGCAGATGAGGCGAGGTGGAGCTTTCTGATTCTCTGCTGTTAAGGGTGAGCTGGGAGAGAGCATGAGATGTGCTGTAGTATAGTTCATCAGGACAAATCTCCTTAAAACAAACGGAAGGGCTAGAGAGATTGGTTAGCAGTCAAAAGTGCTTAGTGCTCTTAGAACCCAGGTTTGGTTCACAATGCCCACACGGCAGCTCATAACTGTAACAGTAGTTACAGGAGATCCAAAACCATCTTCCAGCTTCCATAGGCACTCAGCAAGCTTGTGGTGCACATACATGCATGCAGGCAAAACATTCATAAATATATGAGTGTGTGTGTGTATGTGTGTGTGTGCTCGCGCGCAAAATAAACATAAAAAAAGAAGAGCTAGGCCCAGAGCTCCAGTTTCCCACTACACAGAGAGTGGAGTGCATGTGGGGCTACAAGTCAGTATGAGTTGAGGGGCAGTGGTATTGAACTCCCAACCATCAAAGATTTTCCACCAGCTTTTGGGGAACCAAACCCAGTAGAAGATACCAGCTCCATTTCAAAAGTCTAAATGAAAATCGCAAAAAGGATGAAGACAAAAAGGGATTCCTGTGAGGAGGATCTGATGGTGTCAGAGCTTCCACACCATGTAGGGGGCAGGGAAAGAGCTGGACTCAGAGCTGGACCTGGCACCTCCAGCCTTGCCAGGAAACGTCCTCCACCCAACCCCACCACCCACTTCTATTTGTTGGCATCATTCTTCTTATCTATGGTGAAGTTGCTTCACACAGCACAAGAACATGACCATTGCCAACTTGCCACTTTTCCTACCAATAGCTTAGACACCGGAGACAGAAACTGTAAACTTCCTGGTACCCACAAGGAAATATTCCAGGGACTGGGCCTACTTGATACATCTACAACACAACCCCTACACCCAAGGTTCTAAGAAACATGCAAGGGCCAGATCAAGACATTTGCCACTAGACAGTGTTCTCTCGACATGGCAGAGATGCCACATATAAACTCAGCAACACAGTTGCCTAAACATGACCTGCATAATGCCAACACTAGTCAACATGCGATGCAGATGGGGAAATCTGACAAGCCTCCCCCCCAGGATGAAGAGCTGCCGAGAGAAGGAGACTCCGTCTTCTCCAGGGTGAGCGCCCCAACAGGTCATCCAGTCCCACATGGTCAGCCCTAAATGTATACGCTTGTATGAGAAACACTAAATAGGTGCATTAGGGTGTGAGAGAGGGGGGGGAGGGAGAGGGAGAGAGACAGAGAGATAGAGACAGAGAGAGAAACAATAATTATAGATGAAGTCATAAACTTGAGAGAGTAGGAGGAACATGGGAAGGAGGGTTAAGGTAGCATAAATGATATACAGTATTCATGAATGAAATTATGAAAATAAAAATTTTAAATTAAACAAAAGATCTCAGGGAACAACTTTGATTGGCTTAGCTTAGGTCAGGTGTCCACCTCTCAGCCAATCAGTGCTGGCCTGAGTGCAGGGTGGTTCCCAAGGAAATCACACAGCTGAATGATGTGATCTTCAAGAATTATTGTTTCAAGGCAGACAAACTAAGCTCGAATATTTTTTACGTTACATCACATGATGGGAAGCAAAGCTTGCATTTTTGTTCATGCCCTCCTTGTACCAACAGGAACATAAGGGATGATGATGACAAGGAGGCAAAGGCTACAGCAGACAAGTGACATCCGGGGCAAGCAAAGCTACGCAGTTAGATTTGTATTCAGCACACTGATGTATTTTTGGTCAAAACTGTTTCTGCTCCCTTGCTCTAAGGAGTTCTGTCTGGCATAGACACAGCATTTATCCACTTCCCAGAGAATGTGCGACCCCTACCAGATCTACGCAAGACTGTCCATTGAAACCCTGTCTGGAACCAAGCTCCTCCCAGTCTACTCGGCATGACTCACCCCTCAGCGCTTGCCATCTGCAGCATGAGCACACACCTGAGCACACACCTGAGCACACATGTGCTGCATATGCTCAGACAGGATCCTGAAGCAAAGCAAAGACCCCAGCTCAACAAAACCTCCGTCCTTCAGATTAGAGCACCTAGGAAAACATTGGGCAGGGAAAAGCCTCCTCCCACTGACAGAAGATCCCTGGCTTTGTGACATCCTGGTATATACAGGGTGGGGGAGGAGAGAGGCTGGGGCCAGAAGTCACAGTTCAGTACCATCTCCTTAGAGCCACGTTCATCAAGGGACAAGGAGCAAGAACTATGTGGAGGACCAGAAGGAGAGGCAGATGTCTGCTAACCAGGAGATACAGCTCTGGACTCTGAGAGGTTAGAGAGCTGCTCACCATTGCCCAAAGCAATTAATCTGCTAGGATTGAGACTGGAGAGATGACCGAGGAGGTAAAAGCACTTGTTGCTCTTGCAGAGGACCTGGGGTCAGTTCCCAGAACTCACAGCGTGGCTCACAACCATCTGTAAGTCCAGCCCAGAAGCCTTCTTCTGACCACACTGGGCACTAGACACACATGTGCTGCATATGTGTATGTATATGTGTGTATGTGTGTGTGTGTGTATATATATATATATATATATATATATATATATATATATATATATATATATATACATATGCAGGCAAAACACTCTAAAAAGATTTTTTTTTAATGATGCCAGGATGACAGGAATGTGCTGGAAAAAGCCAAGCAAACTGCCATGGGGTTCAACACCACCGGAGGGAAGATCCGGGAAGCTGTTTTGAAAGTCACGTGGATGACTGAGTTTCTCATCCCTGCCTAGCATGTTCCTGCTGTGACACCTGTTCTCTTTTCCCTGGGTCCCTCCAACAATGGTCACATCCCTTCCATCCACCCAGGGCCATAAGAGGCCAAGGCCTTCCATCTACGATGTGGACATGTCTGTAGACAGGCACTGGACTTCCTCTTTCCTCAACACATCTGCCATCCTCGTAGCTGGAGATGACATCAAAGCCAGCCACGGTGACCTAGTCATCCCTGAGGACTTCCCTCTTCTCTGCTCCCTGCATCGGGGTGTCCTGGCCTAGGCTAACCCTTGGCCACTTGTGAACCCACCTCCCGGTTGGCCACTTTTCTCTTTCCTAACTAGCTCTTCCCACCTAATGTCCAGTTAAGTTCAGGCCATCACTGAAAGTGTCCGGTTAAAGGACAAGTGCTTTCCTCACACTGATGAGGCCCCAGGCGCCATCCTCAAAACAGGAACATAACAACCGGCAGAAGAAAGGAAACCAACCAAGGCAGCAGCCAGAAGTAGGCCTCCCCCACCCCGCACTGAGTGTCCCTTGAAGGCTTGACTGGGCTGGCTTCGCTTCCAAGCCTGAAACCTACCCACAGCCATCCTGTGACCTCCACATTGCCAACCCCAGGGGCCTTCTCGGGTCCTATTCCCATCCACCACCTCTCTGACATGCAGCTTCCCCGATGTACTCCCCAGCTCCACAGACCTCTGCTCGTTTATTCCTCTGCAACCATCTGTTCACGGTACTCACACCAGCTACCCTGGTCTGCTGGGGTGGGGGAGGCTTGCTATTACCTCTCCAACAAACTCCAATTCTTAACTCCACTCTGCAGACCCCATCCCTGGGACCCTCCTGAACTGGGGCTTGTCCCTCTCTCAGGCCATGTCCCAGCTTTGTTCTCTCCTAATCACCTTCACGAACCCTAGTTTTTCTGCCTTTCATAGCCTATTCCTCTTGGAGGGGGCTGAGCACTTGAAGACCCCTCCATCTTGGATGCTGTTCCTCAAGGTTCCAATGGCTTGTTTCTCCATCTGAATAAAATCCCTGTGGGGAAGCAGCTTGCTCTGCTCTGTTCTTTGCTATGTTCCGGCACCTGAACTTGCGTGCATATGTAACAAGTACTTGTACATTTGTGCAAGGAATAGAGGAGAAAGTTTTATCTCACAATTCCAGATTACAGCCCATCAGTAAGGGGAAGTCAAGGCAGGAACTTAGGCAGCCAGTCACATGACAGGCACGGTCAAGAGCAGAGAGAAATAAGGCACACAGGCTACCTGCTACCTTGCTCTCACTGGCTTTCTCCTCTCTTAGAGTATTCATGGGCCCCACCCAAGCACTGGAGCCACCCACAGTGGGCTGGGTCTTCAATTAACATTCAAGACAACCCTCTACAGACAAGCTCAGGAACCAGCCTGATCTGGATAATTCCCAATGAAGGATCTCTTCCCAGGTGACTCCATGTTGTGCCGATGTTGACAATTAAAGCTAATCATCATAGAGACTGGCTGGTTAGATTTTTGTCAACTGGACACAGCTAGAGTTATCTGGGAAGAAAAAAACCTCAACTGAGAAAATAGCTTCCATCAGAAGCCTGCAAGCAAGTCTTTGGGAGACATTTTCTTGATTAATGACTGGAGTGGGTGGTGGCACCCCTGGGCAGGGTGGTCCTGGGCTCAATGAAAAAGCGAGCTGACTGAGCCATGGGGAATAAGCAGTGTTCCTCCATGGCCTCTGCTTCAGTCCCTGCCCTGAGAACTCTTCGTGATGGACTGGGGTTGGGACAAGTAAATCACAAAGACCCTCTCCTCCCCTACGCTGGCCTTAGTCAACCCGGAATAGCCCAGTCATTTTGAAAACATGCTCATTTGAGATTTTGAAAACCTACATATTATTGGTTATTCCTAACATCCTTTTTTGTCTTGTTTGTTTGTAAACAAAGTCTTTCTCTGTAGGGCAGGCTGGCCTAGATTTTACTAAGTGGTCCAAGCTAAGCTTGAACTCAAAATCCTCCTGCCTCTGCTTCCCCAGTGCTGGGTTTACAGGTGTGCACCACCACCTCAGGCTCTCTCTTTCATCTTCATAGCAAAGGAAACTCAGACCTACAGTAATTGAAGAAGTCTCCAGGCTCAGGATTACAGCTCAAGAAACCGTTACTATGAATTGCACCATGTGGGTTTCTAATCATCTTTGAACAACTCAGGTCAGTCTTCCCTTCAAGAAGAAGAAAGTGGCAGCAATGTTAACCTGAGTACTTATCGTCAGGGTAAGCAGTGCCCCAGCCTGGGAGGTTTTGTAGATGTGGTAACACATTTCCTCAAATCCACCCCCATCCTTGCCCCCAACAGCCATCCACCCAGCTTCAGGAGCTGCTGATTCAACAACCCCAATTTTATACTTTAGTAACACCAGTGACTCTGAAATGACAGGCTGGGGGTGGGGGGACTCTGAACATCAGGGGCTTATTAGAACTCCAGGGAATTTTCTAGAAATCTATCTTTAAAGTCTTCATGGAACTCAAACCTCAGCAGTACGTTAAATGAATGAGGCAAGGAAACCAGTTTTAAGAGTGTAACCGGAAGCAGATGTCTGCCTTTACACCTCACTGCTTTAATATCCAGCGTTCCCACCATCTCCTGATTTACACAGGCTTCCCTGACACACTGAAAGGCACTTTAACAAAATGTCGAGACACTGCAATTGGGCACCATTATGCTTGGTTTAACCCTTGGTTTAAAAAACTATTAAAAAAAAAGTTTCCTTGAATCCAAACTAATAAAAATATAACCTGGCCTTAATTGTGCTTCAAAGTTCCAGGGTTAATGCCACTGTTAAAATTAGGAACTTGGAGCTGGTTTCTACTCCAATGTGCTGAAAAAAAATGGATGTTTTATTCTTCCTCTGTAAATACCCTGGGGAACATGGGATGGTTTGTGGGAGATGGAAATGACTTGGGAGAGTTTTATAAACCATGAAGATAGAGATCCCTTTGTGTAACAACAGGTAATTTGGGGAAGGAGAGGACATCTGGGGATGAACACAGATAAAAGATTACTGTTGATATCTAACAGCATTTACATTTAATACTCAACTTATTTTTAAATTGAAATACAATCACTTCATTTCCTCCCGTCCCCTCCCCACCTTTTCACGTCACCCTCTCTGTGCCCTCTTACATTCCTTTCCTCTAATTACCATCATCACATATTTGTATGAATGACAGATACATAAATACAACTTGCTAAACCACTCAGTGTTGCTCGTATGTCTATGATTCCAGGGGTGACCACTTGGAACTGAATAACCAATCTGGGGGCTCATCCATGGGGTGACTATTTCTCCCTTGTGTAGCAGGAATCTTAAAAGTTCTTATTAATGAAATCAAACCTGAGCCAGTTATTGGGGTGAACTGGAAGATCAGAGAACCAGAACAAGCCACAGCTACCTCACCTCACCGGATCCTCAGCTGGTCTTGTTTCCTCAGACTGGAGGCCTCTGAGTCCTCATCCAGAATGGGTCTCAGCTGAATTGCTGCTCAAAAGCCTGAATGCTTAACCAGGCCAAATGCTTAACCGGGCTAAATGCTTCTAGTTCCTGGTCCTCACGCCTTATATACCTTTCTGCTTTCTATCATCACTCCCTGGGATTAAAGGCTCGCTTTCTGGAATTAAAGGTGTGAGTCACCATGCTTGGCTGTATCCTTGAACACATGGATTTCTGTCTAGCTCTGCCTCCCAAGTGCTGGGATTAAAGGCGTGTGCTACCACTGCCTATCCTCTATGTTTAATATTGTAGCTGTTCTGTCTCTGACCCCAGATAAATTTATTAGGGTGCACAATATTTCAGGGAACACAATACCACCACACCCTTGCTCAGAAGTTGTTAGAATACTCAATTTATTGACTTTGATTTTGTTCTTCTATGTACTCTATTTTACCCTGCATGGCCTCAGAGTTCTCTTCTAGTAGAATGGACCAAATAGGAACTCACTACATCTGAACCCATGTGTGTGACAAGCGGTTTTCTCCAAGATGGTCACACTTTTTCTCTCAACCCATGGGGTGAACCAGAATCCTGTCATTCACACACCAAGAGATGGAGTCTTCCAGAGGTGTCCTGTATTGGAGTCAGTGTGGGTGTCTGGGATACTTCTCTCCATGAGTGAGGTGGAGGATCATGTGACATTTGAGGCAGATTGTACGAACTTCCACCTTGTTTCTTTAGAGTCTGGCTGTCATGACTTCAGGAAGTCCAAGCAGGCAGAGGCCAAGAACTAGCATGGACCTTCCAGTCATGAGAGGACAAGGCCCCGAAAGGAGACCATAGCCACGACAGCACCCAGTGGGAGCACAGGGGACCACCTCTGCCCAGTTCTGCCCTGCTTGAAGACTTTGGGGCAGAACACAGGATTATTATCGTGGTAAGCCAACATCCTCAGGTGACAGATACATAATAGTAGAGTTCTCTGTGTCTCTTACTTCCCCCTGCATCCTTCCCTCCTTGGTTTTCTAAGGCACTTTCTCACTGGTAGGACAGCCTCCTGAGTGGTGGGATCACAGGCATGAGTTATGATACCCCACTTAACATCTTTTGAAATATAATGATCCTCACTAATTCATATCCCTAAGTGATTCCAGACTGTAATGACTTATTTGAGTAAACACCCGAATCCTCCATAAAAGATTGAGTTAGCTGTACCTCCAAATATGCAGAAATCTAAAAGAAAAGGATGCAAACGTTCCTGGACCTGCAGGGGTCAGAGCCACAGTCCTTAGCCTCCCAGGTTGTGATAGTGTATCCACACTGCGGACATAGGCCTATGCTCTTGAGATAAGCATACACTTGCTGCCCTGAGGCTTACACTATGAACAGGCTCAGCAAACCTGTAGGCAAACTCCGGCTTGCTTCTTGTTTATCACAAGGTACAAATGTGCAGAGCATGAATTAATGATGATCTTGTACTATTCAAGAGTGACAGAATGATGCAACTATACCTACCTTCCCAGGCACAAGAGGAAAAGAAAGCGTCACAGAGCAGCACAAAGAGAAACTTCCACCAACCTCTGGGGAGTGTCTCAGAAGTTAGAGCTGCTACCACCTCATATTCAAAATGGGAAGTCACAGAAAGTGAAGTTGCTACGGCAACCAAGCCGAGGACAGCTCCATCAAAACACCCTTTCTACCAGGAACACATCTAAACATTTTCCTTTCACGTTTTTCTACCTTTTTACATAGTTTAATTATGACTTCTACTTCCCATAGCCTGCATCAAATCTTTTTCAGCCCTAGAATAGCACCCCTGGCATCTAAACCATACCTATTTCTTATCTCCTAGTACCTTCGCAATGTGGGACGCAGCCTCAGGCCGCCACTCAAGTGAGACGTGAGTTACACGGAGCTTCATTCTGTTTTCCGTTCCTCAGGCACATGTATAATATCTGTGATTTGGACTCTTTGGTCTTCCACACATCACAGCGCCACCCCCATAGTGACAGTCTTCCTTAGATTTCATTCTTTCAAACACTGAAGTCAAAAGTGATCCAAGTTTAGATTTTTCTCACAACAGATCTGTTGCATTGTGGCAACAGAAGGCAGTGCTTATTTTTAACCTTAATTTAAAAAAAAAAAAGGAAAGAAAAAAATAGGAAATAAAGTAATAACCCATGCATTGAAATCTGATGGTTTCTGTTAGTTAAGGGGGAGATGAAGAAAAAGGGTAAGTTAAAAAAAAATCAATCAACAGATACTGGTGAGCTGTAGGAAGAGCAGAAAGAAGATGAAGATGAGTGTCTATGGCACGGAGACCCAGCCGGCCACCATCCCAATCCTCCACCTCTTTATAACAGGAGCGACAACTTAAAAACTGGATAGACCACTGCATCGTAGAACTAGCACTATCAGAAATCCTGGGAACCATCACCTCAGAGACCACGAATGGCTTTACCTCAGTGGATGCTGTGGAAGTCACTAGCAGAGACAT